TTGTTGGCAAGGCAGGCCACGTAAATCTCCCAGCCTGACAAAGCAGGAACAAGCCATGGGTATCGCTGGTCTTGGGGCAGAAACTCCTGTAGGCACCAGTGCTAAGACCTGTTCCACCACCTTCACACATCCCTGGAGGAAGTCAGACAAATGCATCCAATGGGAAGAGCCGTGCAGGAACTGGTGAGCGTGAGACAAGCAGAAACGGCAGCAGCAGCAGTTTACACAAACCTCTCTGCTGCAGATAGGCAGGAACTGATAGCGCTGGGTGTAAATAATGGCAATGGGGAACCAGCCCCACAGAGGGGGGCCAGAGAGGAACAAATCCCAGCTTGGAGCTCAGGGCCAAGTCATTAGAGACCTGCTGCAACCCACAAAAGTTCTGCCGGGGGGCTTAAGAGACGTGGGAGGGCCGTCCTCTCTGCCCGCATGGGCCCTGTGCTGGGGCAGCCTGCTGTCCCTTGGGGAAGCCCAGGCATCTGTAACACTCTCCAAAAGGATGCACAAAACAGCCTGGCTGTCTGGGTCTCTGTCAAGGGGTGCCTGCGAGGTGGTGGCTTTGAGATGCCAGGATGGATTCCCCAGTGGTCCCAGAACAAACTCAGTGAGTCTGGGGCTCTGCTTACATAGGGATAGAGAACCAAGCCACCAGCTGCCGGCTGCTTTCAGCCAACCCTACCAGAAACTCCCGAAGTCTGTAGCAGCCGCTCCCTCCCTGAGCTGCTGCAGGCAGCAGCTGGTTAAATAATAAAGTGGAGAAGGGCAAAGGTCTGATCCCAACCCATGCCCGGGTGGGTGTCTGCACTAAAGGGCCTCATCCTCACACAAAGGAGAAGCTGTAAGTCCACCTCTGCTACCCATTTACAAACAGCAAACAGCACCCGCAGCATTTCACCCCCCCACACCCCACAGGCGCCTGCTGCAGATAAGGCACCCCATCACCCCGGGGAACAATGGTCCCCACTCCCCACCCGCCCCACGGAGAGCATCGTGTCCTGCTCAGCCCTTACCCAGCGCGAGGTGCGGCACGAGGCCAGCGAGGCTCAGCAGCAGCAGGGGCAGGGGCAGCCCTCCTCTCTGCCCCGCCATGTCCAGGCAGGCGGGAGCCGATGCCCCCCCCCAGGCACCGCTCCGAGCACTCCCCACAGCCCTGGCACTGGGGTTTCCAGGTCTCCTTTGCCCGGCAGAGGAGGAGCATCCAGGTGGGTCCTCAGGCGTTGGCAGCAAAGAGGGGATTTCCACCCGACACGGACGCTCCCAGGGACGGGTGCAATGCCGAGCAGACATCAGCTGTGCTGCTGGACCCCGGGCAGCCATGAGCAGCGGGCAGGGCAGGCCGGCTGGGCCACGACTGTAGCAGACCAGGTCCCTTCAGCCGGGGACCGTGCCGTCCTTTGCCTGCTGAGGGGACGGCGACAATGGAAAAAAGCCCAGGGAAGCAGCCAGGCTGCCTGGGACTGTCCCAGCGCTCCGCCACAGGGGTGATGTTCAGTGATGGCTCCCAGCACCAATGCCCTCGGGGACACAACAGCCCGCTCGCTCTGAGCTCGAGGAACTGGCGGAGAGAACAGGCAGCGCTCAGGAAGGGCGTGCTCCAGGCTGAGGGTTTGTCCCCTGGGCTGTCTGTACAGGCATCACTTCCCATATCACAGCATGTCACAGCTGAAGCGCACCGCCGACAGCCGGAGCCGCTTCCTTATTCTCAGGGTCAGGGACAAGACCAGTCAGTCAAAGGCACCCGCAGGCACTGGGCCAGGGTACAGGCGCTCCGCAGGCAGACAGGCACGCTGGAGGACTGCCAGGGCACAGCCACCCTGCTGCTGTACAGGCTGCCCGCTGCCAGGGCACAGGCGTGCTGAGGGCATCACCAGGGTACAGGCGCTCTGCTGGGGTGCTCTCACACCATAGGCATTAGGCCGGGATGCAGGTACTCTGGCAGGATACAGTCTCTCTAACTGGGGTACAGGGACACTGGGGGGATGTGCATGGCCAGGGGCACCGGGGCAGGGTACAGTCTCCCTGCCAGGTTCAGGTGCACGGAGGGGGGTGTCACCAAGGTACGGCTGCAGCCGCAGGGTAAAGGCTCCTGGGAGAGCCACCAGGATACAATCACACTGCTGGGACACAGGTTTCTAGGAAGGCGCACTGCCAGGGTATGGCTGCCTGGGGGGGCTGCCGGGGGACAGCCACACTCCTGGGGTACAGCCACACCCCTGGGGTACAGTCGCACTGCCGGGGTACAGTCACACTCCTGCGGTACAGCCACACTCCTGGGGTACAGTCTCACGGCCGGGGTCACAGCCACACCGCGGGCTTACAGCCGCCCCGCTGCACCCCCAGCGCGGAGCGGGGATGCCCCGCCCCCTCCCGAAGCCCCGCCCCCTCACGGCACTCACGGCAGACACGTCCCTACCACAGGCCACGCCCCCCAGGCTTTCCCCCGCCCCCAGCCCCGCCCAGCGTGAGCCCCGGAGCGCCGCGCCGCGGTGACCCGAGGCCCGGGCCCGGTGCCGCCGTTCCCACCCGGCAGCGTGGGGTGTGAGGGAGCGCCTCGTCCCCGCTGCCTGACGGGGCGGCCAGCCCGGCCTGGGCGCGGGGAGCGGCGGGGGACCCACCCGCCGGCCTGCAGAGGCTGGAGACGGGGCGGCTGCCGCAAGGCGGGGGGGGGGGGCCAGGCCGTGGGAGATCCCACGGGGGTTTGTCACCCTGCCCCTGCCCCACGGGTGCTCCGTGGCTGCACTCACCTGCGGCGGCACTGAAGGTCTCAGGTGCTGTCGGGGTGGAGGTACCAGGGGTGGTCCCGGCCGTGGTCCCGGCTGGCTGGCTGGGGGCGGAGGTGCTCTCAGGGACCCCCGTGCTGGTAACGGGGGCGGCCGTGGTGTCCAGCGGGGTCGTCGAGGCCTCGTCCGAAGTGGCTGCCGGTGCCGGTGTGGTGGGCGAAGAGGTGCTGCCGGTCCCTGGGGATGTGCTGCCAAGCAGCGTGGTCACGGCTGGCCTTTGGCGGGTGCTGGTGCCAAGCGTGGTGCCCACCCAGGTGGAGGAGAGAAGAGAAGAGGGGGAGGGAGGCAGCGGGCTTGTTTTGACTCCAAGCGAGCTGACAGCCACGGCCATGCTGGTCCCCACAGACGTGACAATGGTCATCTCAGCACAGTTGGGTGTCGTGGCCATGGGGGTTGGAGTTGGGGTGCCAGTGGTGAGCCCTGGCCCTGTTGGGGTGGGGTCAGACTGCACCGTGGTGCCAGTGGGTGACCCAGGAGTGCTGCAGGCTGTGCTGCCCCTCGCCTGCGGTGTGGTGATGCTGGAGGCTGCCGCGCTGCTCCCGTGAGGCGTTGCATCGCTGGCTGTGAAGGCATCCGTCAGCACCTCTGGGGCGGAGGTTTCAGGGCTGGAGGGAGGGACGGTGGCTGCAGTGGTGGAGGTGCTGGTGGGCAGCAGCGCCGAGGTCTCCATAGGTGTTGAGGAGGTAGGGTGAGCTGTGGACACAGTGACTGTCACATCCGTGGCAGTGGTACCTGCAAAGAGGCTGGAGAATGAGGCACGCAAGCGCTGGCGGTGAAAGGCTGAGACCATGGCTGTGCCAGGGATGGCGCAGCATCACCACCAGCATGAGCTCCCTGAGGGACCCAGAGCTACACATCAGCCATAGAGCATTGGGAGTGGGGATTCACTGTCCTTGCAGCGATCAAACATGTGGATGACCTGAAAGGCAACATGATTGTTGGCAAGGCAGGCCACGTAAATCTCCCAGCCTGACAAAGCAGGAACAAGCCATGGGTATCGCTGGTCTTGGGGCAGAAACTCCTGTAGGCACCAGTGCTAAGACCCATTCCACCACCTTCACCCATCCTTGGAGGAAGTCAGACAAACCTGTCTGACAGGAAGAGCTGTGCAGGAACTGGTGACCGTGAAACAGGCTGGAACGGCAGCAGCAGCAGTTTACACAAACCTCTCTGCTGCAGATAGGCAGGAACTGATAGCACTGGGTGTAAATAATGGCAATGGGGAACCAGCCCCACAGAGGGGGGCCAGAGAGGAACAAATCCCAGCTTGGAGCTCAGGGCCAAGTCATTAGAGACCTGCTGCGACCCTGGTCTGCGGGGGGTTGAGGGACGCAAGAGGAGGGGACCTATGGCTGTAGCTCGAGGCTCACAGGAGGTACAAGCACCAGATTTATTCCCTGTGCTTGGCTCAACGCTGCTCTTGCTTTGTGTCAAGTGCAAACATCAGGATGGCATTTGCAGTTTTCCAGGCCCACGACAGCCCAGTGATACTGCCATCTGGGCAGAAGTGTTTGGTGCTGCTGGGTGGGTCGTAGCAAAGGCAATGAGCCCAGCAGGGACCAAGGTTCAGCAAGGGGGTCCAGCTGGGACCAAGGTCTTCTCTGCCCAGAGACACACGAGAGGCAAAAGAAATAAAGCCAAGCTTGTCGCTCTGGTGTTGCAAAGTGCAGCTCTGTTCACTCACTGGGATGGGGCTGTGATGTCAGAGAGCAAACAGCACCCGCACTGTTTCACCTCTGTGGGTGAAGCCACCCTGGGGCCACCCACCGCCCTGGGGAAGGATGCTCCGCACCCACCACCCACCCCACCGATAGCATCGCATCCCACTCAGCCCTTACCTAGCGTGAAGTCCAGCACGGCAAGGCTCAGCAGCAGCAGGGGCAGCCCTCCTCTCTGCCCAGCCATGTCCAGAGCCAGCACCCTCAATCCCCGGGTGGTGAAAAGTCCCTGCACCCGGGGATGCAGGGCAAGGGGATAGTGCCAGCGGAGAACTACACTGCCGAGTGACGGCTGAAGGAGGCCGGAGCCGCTTCCTCATTCCAGAGGACAGGGAGGGGAAGCACCGGCGGGCACGACAACCCCCTTCCCGGGGGCCGGTGCTGCGCCGATGTCCCCGGCGCGCCCACGGGCGCGCCGGGGACATCGGCGCAGCACCGGCCCCCGTGTAGAGGAGGGGCGGTCCCAGGTGCTGGCGCCACGCCCCTTCTCCAGAAACCACGCCCCTTAAACCACGCCTCCGACTTGTGTAACACCCGGAGGCCCGCGTGGCTGCCAGGTAGGGACCGCGACCGGGGACCGGGGCCCGGGGACCGGGGGCCGGCATCTCCCGGGCTTTGGGGGCGGACCGGGGACCGGGATGGGCAGGGTACCGGCAGCTCGGTACGGTTCCGTTTCCTCTCGCAGCGGCCAAGAGCAACCACGCTGCTCCGGGCGCTGGCCCGGGCAGTCCTAAGGATGCGGCGGGGGCAAGGGAAGCGAAAGGCCGAGGTGAGGGAGCTGCCACGCGTGTCTCGGAGGAGGAAGGAGGAAGAGGAGGAGGCGGTGCAGGAGGCCCGGCGGAGGGCGGCCCCGTCCGTGCGAGAGTTCAAGTACAACAAAAAGCGGGTTCGCCTCGTCTCGCAGGGCTCGGACCTGAAGGCTGATGCTCGGTGCATCCTTTACTGGATGTCCCGGGACCAGCGGGTGCAAGGTGCGAACCAGCTGGCAGAGGGGGCCGGGAAGCGGAGCTCCCATGGGTGGCAAAAGCCTTGGTCCCTTCCCACGGTAGGCCTTGGAGCTGGTGCCCCCTCTGCGGGGGGAACTGGGGGGATTCCTCTTGCAAAACCCCATCTCCATTCCCTCAGCAAAGCGTCCCCCCAACACTGCCCTGTGCGCTTTCTCCCCAGATAACTGGGCTTTCCTCTATGCCCAGCGCCTGGCACTCAAACAGGAGCTGCCTCTGCACATCTGCTTCTGCCTGGTGCCCAAATTCCTGGATGCCACTATCCGCCACTATGGTTTCATGCTGAGGGGCTTGCAGGAGGTGGCTGAGGTACGGCCGCTGTGGGGATGCCCACGTTGGGTGGGACACGGCTCGTGGGGAAGGGGGGAGGCAGATCCATCCCTTCAGCAGATGGTGGTGGGATGGGGTCTGCAGAGCCATGAACCATCCTGTAGCCTTTACCCCTCGCTGCAGGAGTGCGGAGAGCTGAACATCCCCTTCCACTTGCTGCTGGGCTACCCCAAGGACGTGCTGCCCACATTCGTGGTGGAGCATGGAGTGGGCGGGCTGGTGACAGACTTCTGCCCCCTCCGCCTCCCCCGGCAGTGGGTGGAGGACGTCAGGGAGTGGTTGCCAGAAGACGTGCCGTTTGCGCAGGTGGGTGCCCGCGCTCTGGGAGGGGAAGACTCTGGCTGGTGAGATGTGGGAGAAACTTGTCTCCTGCGTTTCGTGCCTGCAGAGGTGCACTGGAGTGACCTGAGCAGAGAGCGTGTGTGTCATGTCATCGGGACCGTTTGCTTCTGCTCACACCCTTCTCCATTGCTTTGCTTCCCAGGTTGATGCCCACAACATCGTGCCCTGCTGGGTTGCCTCCCCCAAGCAGGAGTACAGTGCCAGGACCATCCGGGGCAAGATCCATGCTCAGCTCCCCGAGTTCCTCACCGAGTTCCCCCCTGTCATTCGTCACCCATATCCCCCCTCCTGCCCGGCAGAGGTACCAGCAGGAGACACCTCCACAGCCACTCGCAACCAGTCCCAGAGAGTTTCACAGCTGCTTTGTGATCCTGGGGGAGAAAGGCAGGGGATGGGGACAGTGACCTGTCTGAGGTCACACGCGGGTGGTGTGGAGATGGGGATGCCCTGGGGAAGGGAGGTTCCCACCTCTTTCATTCAGTTCCCATGTCCCTGCTGGTTAAGAGGAGGAGGCTGGCACAAGCTGGGGACTTGCCGGCTGGGGACATCCAGGGGACATAACACTCGGGGCATCTGGCTGAAGAGCATCTGCAAATGCACTCACACTGCTTGGTCGCCACCCAGCCCATTGCTTGGGAGGCCTGTTATTCCAGCTTGCAGGTGGACCGCACCGTGAAGGAGGTGGAATGGGCGACCCCCGGCACGGCTGCGGGGCTGGCTATGCTGCAGTCCTTCATTGCAGAGCGGCTGAAATCCTTTGGGTCCCACCGGAACGACCCCAACAAGGCAGCGCTCAGCAACCTCTCCCCGTGGTTCCACTTTGGTGAGCGTCCCAGGCTTCCCACTCTGCAGCAGGACCGAGCACGGTGGCTTGGACCGGCAGCCTGACTTGCTCCCTCCCCATGTCCCCAGGCCAAGTTTCCACCCAGCGAGCCATCCTGGAGGTACAGAAGCACCGGGGCAAGTACAAGGAGTCGGTGGACGCATTTGTGGAGGAGGCCGTGGTACGGCGGGAGCTGGCTGAAAACTTTTGCTACTACAATGAGAACTATGACAGCGTGCAAGGTAGCATCCCAGGTTGGGTGGGCAACGCTGGGGGCCAGGCTGGCACCCAATTGGTCACCCCAATTTGGCAGTCCCATTTCTGCTAGGAGAGGGGCTGTGGGGGCACTAATGTGCCATCATTTGGTACCTTCTGGACGTAGGACAGGAGCTGGTGGATGCCCTCTTCAAGGCTGGTGCCTCCAGGGCACAGTGCCCTCAGTAGCCCAATTCCCCATCCCTTCCTCAGGGCCCTGCAGGAGCAGGTTGCTCAGTGTTGCCCCTCATCTCTCTTCCTCACAGGTGCTTACGACTGGGCACAAACCACCCTGAAGCTCCACGCCAAAGACAAGAGGCCTTTTCTCTACAAGCTGCAGGAGCTGGAGCAGGGGACCACACATGACCCGCTCTGGAATGCTGCCCAGGTAGTGTCCCGCATCTCCACTGCAAAATGCTGAGCCTTTTCCCGAGGGGCAGAGGTGAGCTGGTACGGACTGACCCCTGCGGCTGTCCCTTTCCCTCCAGCTCCAAATGGTCCGGGAGGGCAAGATGCACGGCTTCCTGCGGATGTACTGGGCCAAGAAGATCCTGGAGTGGACCCACTCCCCTGAGGAGGCCCTGCAGTTTGCCATCTACCTCAACGACCGTTACGAGCTGGACGGGAGGGATCCCAACGGATACGTAGGCAAGCTGCAGGAGGGGGGCACGGAGCAGGGGGCCTTATCTCTGATGGCCAAGGCCACTGTGGGTGGGGGCGGCTCTCTGCAGACAATCCAGCCCATCCTGCTTTGCACCCACATCCCACTGGCTCTCCAGCTGCCTCTGAGCAAGGGGGAGAGCTGACGCTCCATCCCCTTTGCCCGGCAGGCTGCCTTTGGTCTATATGCGGCATACACGACCAGGGCTGGGCAGAGCGGGCCATCTTCGGGAAGATCCGCTACATGAACTACGCCGGCTGCAAGCGCAAGTTCGACGTGGGCCAGTTCGAGCGTCGCTACGCCCCCCGCACGCTCTCCCAGTGACGGGCACAGCACGCCTTGAGATTGCTTGTGGCCCTCTATGCTGGGGGCAGACATGCCTTTGCCAAGGTGCCAGCTTGCACCTTACACCCTGGCCAGGGATCGCCCAGGTGCTGTTGGAGAACTCACTGGAACAGCCGCAAGCCCCAGGGTTTTGCAGGTCTCTCTTCGCTGCCATCACCCCCTGCTCGAGCTGCTGTGCTGGGGCAGCTGCTGGAGCCCCACGGGGCTGTGCAGGGCCCTCCTGCTGCCACGCGTTTGCTGGCAGCTACAAAAGCCCATCCTCAGCATGCCCGTGCCTGCCAGAAACCTTTTTTACAACCACTGTGCTCAGGAGTAAGCGCAAGTTGCTGTTGCTGCTGCTAACCTCAGCTTAGAGTTAGGCTGAGCAGGGCTTTTCTGGGGAAAAGCCCCCAGAAACTGGCTCCTCATGCCATGCTGCCTGCAGGGAAGCCCTGCTTCGCTCCGCGCGGAGCCAGCGCTGTGCTGGGCTTGCACATGCATCCTTCAACAGTTGTTTTAAAGTTTACAGTTTATCGCCTGTGTCTGTGGTGTTTATGGGGCGATGCATGACACTGCTGCAAGGGGAGAACTGGGCTGTGTGGGACCGGGATGCAAGCAGTGATGGGGCAGCCAAGGCCATGCCCCGGGCCCCTCTCCCAGCAGCAAAGGCAGGCTCAGGAAGGGGACAGGCATTAGACAGCCCCTTTCTCAGTGGCTTGTACCTCCTGCCCTGAGTCCTCTCGGCAGTTTGCAGGGGGAGGCCACAAACCAAAGAGATTAGTCAAGGGGTGGTGACAATAACCCCCTCCCAGTGACAGCTGGTGATGCATCACCAGTTGCATAAGTTGTCCCCCCACTATCTCCCCCCCTCCCTGCCCCAAGGGCCAACAGGCACTGCAGCACTGACCCCAAGGGGGGGGATACACACCGTTACCCCACCTGAAACAATGCCACAAGACAACCAGGCCCCTTATTAACTTAGTTTATTAGGGACGGCATTTTCATTGCTGTGCAATAGTCCCATGGGGAGGGCTCCAGTTTGGTGGCCGGGGCAGCCCCTCGCTCTCCCTTACAAAGAGCCCACTGCCTTGCCCAGTTCCAGTGTTACTCTTAGCGGTCAGTGCTGGGCACAACCCTGCCCTGGAGACCTCTTGCTGGGTTTGCAAGTCTTGCTGCTTCCAGACAAAGTCCATGGCGGAGGGTGGAAACCACAAATAAGCCAAAATCCCTTCCCTCTTCTCTAAATGTACTCAGTGCTTCTAGAAGGGGACACAGGCAGCCTCTCAGCTGCTGTCCCATGACATTAAAGTGCTTCAAACAAAACAGGGTGGATGGAGGTGTGCTGCTGAGGCAGCTCCAGGGAAGGGGGTGCCAGCTCTGGGCAGCAGCAGGAGGGCTCAGCTTGGGCTTGGGGACAGGCAAGACCAAGGCGGACCAGCATCTGGCAGCCCCACGGCTTGCAGAGACAGAGAGCAAGTGGGAGAGAAGCTGATCCCCTACAGAAAACAAGCAGAAGTAAGACAGGAGGCAAAAACCCCAGGGGAGTGAGTGGGGAGCTGAACCCCCTTCCCCAGGCTAGACCTGGCTTTGTCAGGATGCTGCAGAGCAGGGGAGGGATACTGCCATGCAGCAGCCAGGCCCCCAGCAGTGAGGCTTGCAGCCACCTTCCCTGACCAAGCCCTGAGGCCACCTCTCCTGGTCCCAGCCTCTCTCAAACCCCCCCAACCCTGCCACCCCTGCAGCGACAGCCCACAACGGGTCATGTCCCAGCCTCAAGCCAGGGCACGCACTGCAAAAGCCATTGCCCCTAGATGCCTTCTGCCAGTGTATTGCTCCCCAGTCCCTCAACAGCCTTCTCACACGTACACAGGCCACACTGTCCTTCCAAACACCCCACTGCCACCCCACATCCCACACATGCTAAGGTGGTGCTGGACACTCACCTGTGCCATGGGCTAAAGCATCCTCCTGCGATGCAGAGGCACCTCCTCGACCAACTGGTAGCCCTAGAGCACAGAGCTCACCTTGTACCACCGGGTGCAACCCTGTGGAGCCATCGGTCGTGGCAGGCAGCTCTGCATCGGTGAGGGACCAACCCTTTGCAGCACCTTAGTGCCAAACCCCTCTCCCCCGTGCACCCCCATTGCATGCAGGTTGCCTGGCCACCCCGCTGCACCGCAGACGGGAAGCCTCGAGGCTTTGCCTGGCTCAGGGACCCCTCTCCCAAGGGGACCAGGAGATCTGCTGGGAGAGGGGACACCTGGCAAACGCCAGCCCCATCCAGGGGTGAGCAACCAGGAGCAGGACAGCCCTGGAGGTTTTATACCAGTGAGTCCTAAACAGATCGCACATCCCCTAAAGAGGCATTTCAAGCAGCACCTCCTTTGGGGGGGAACACACAGTTAAAAATACAAACAACTGCATTAAAAAAAATAAAACCAAATCCAGCAGATTAAAAAACAAAAACCCAACCTAAAAGAACAAACCGAGACAGAGGCTCAGGGGATGCAGTCGGAGGGCTGAGCCTTCACCCACATCCTGACAGGTCTCGGGCAGGAGGCAGCTGCATGCAAGGCAAGTCCTGGTGCCACCAGTGATGTCCCATGTCGCCCTTAGAGGAGGACACGTCCCCCCAGGAGGAGAGACCAGCAGCAAGAGGAGGAAGCAGGGTGGGAAGCTTCACTTACTGCACCCTCCAGCCATGGGGATCTGCCTCCGCTGAAAGCCCAGCAGCACTGGTCCCCTTGTGCGGCTGCTCCGGGGGCAATGCCCCTCTGCAGCACAGGCTGCGGGCAGAAGGCAGGGAAAGCAGCTCAGCACAGATGGCACGGAGAGGTGAGGCAGAAATCTGGCATTTTCACCATTGCCACCTCCTCTGCTCTGATTCTGGAGCAAATGCTCTCTGCCAGTGTCCCAAGCCAGATTTGAGAAAGGGAGCTGTTAAATATACAACCAACCCCAAACCCCTACCCTCCCTCCATGCACACAACCCACAGCAGCAGGACAGGGGACTGGAGGACTCAGAGAGCCGATTCCCCCCTCCAAGGAGTAGACATGGCCAGAGCTTCCTAGTATACAGCTGATGAGCAGAAAATGCTGACCTCCTGGGGGACCCTGCCAGGGGACAGGGCACAGGGACTGGCAGCAGAGCCCTGCCTGGTCCAGCATGAACAACTGCTCAGAAAAGGCCCCTGTTCTGCCTGCAGGACAAGCAGGAGCAGCCACCTTTCCCCAGGCAAAGGCATCGGGGAGTGTGAGCAGTACCTGGAGCAGACCTGGACAATGGAAGATACCCCTTCCCCAGCCCAGCACTACCACACAGGGGAAAACAGATCCCTTCAAGACAGCGCTCCAAGCCTCCTGACAGTCCTCCTCATCTCCAGTCCATGTGGCTCAGTCTCTGGTGACGAAGGCCACGCACATAAATAAACCCATGATCTGCTCCTCCGCTGCAACATGCTCATGTGGCTGCCACCGCCTCCGGCTGCTCCAGCTCGTCTTCATAGTCCGAGACATAGGACTCCATGCTCTGCCTGGCCAGCAGCTCTCTCCGGGCTTGAAGCCGCTCACAGCGGGGACAGCGGGTGGACTTGAAGCAGGATTTGTGGTAGCAGGCTTTGCACTCTGCGGGAGAGAGCATGGGTGAGAGCTGGCAGAGGCTGACACAGACTGCCTGATGCTCCGCAACCCGGGGAGGGATGCTCCAGGCTTGTCCAGGAGGACATTTCAAACCAAAGCTGTGGCAGAACAAGCACCAGAAGTGGAGGTCCAGCACCGTTCTGGAAGCAGCAAGAAGTCATGCTGGTCCCGGCACTGGCTTGCAAAGCCTTTGGGAGCACAGGGGAGAGGTTTACTGCTCTGCACAAGGCCCCTCCCCAAACTTTCCTGATTCTCCAAGGAAACAGTGACTGCCCCAAGATTGCTCTGGCACTGTGCCTGCCAAACCAAGGCTTGCATGTTGTCAGGAGCCATTTCAAGCCAGTTCAGAGGTTGGTCCCAAGCTGCAGGGACAAGCTCTGCTTGGCTGTTAGTACTGGACATTAACAAGGATGACTCCTGAAGGGGCCCAGGGATTTCTTGGCAGGCAGGAAGAGCACAAAGACAAAGTCTTCAGGCTCTCTCTGCTCTACAAGGCCAGCTCCAGCCATCGAAGCAGGGGCAGGGGAGCTGCATGCAGGCTGCAGCCTGTTCCGTAACCACAGCAGAAGGGAAGCCAGGGCTCCCAGACACCCGCTCGCTGCAGTCACAACCCAACTGCCTGCTTGCCACTGGGGCAGGCAGCACACAGCATGGTCAGGAAGAGACCTACACACTCCACCACTCCAGCAGCTCTGGCCAAACACTGTTACAATGCTGATATGCTGCTGTGATAACGTGGTGCAGAGACACAGTCCATGCACAGAGGCACTCTGGTCTGCCTGGCTCTGGGTCTGTACCTCCTGCTAGCACAAATGCCACTCAAACTGGAGGCAGACCTTGGTGACCCCAGGGTCTGTCCCCTCCCTGTTTCTCCCCAGCATCTCACCTTCACATATCCTGCACTTGTTGAGCTCAAAGGGGAAGATGATGTCACCCTCATTCTGGCAGAACTCACAGATGAAGCCTTTGGCTTGGCACAGCTGGAAGGAGAAAAGGTGAGGAAAAAGCAGCTAAATACTTCTCATCTCCCTGGCAAGCAGGGCAGGAGGTAAAGTGGAGCAGGACAGCAGGACATGGTGCCCTGCTCTAACCATGTGGGACAGCCCTTCCCCAGCATGGAGCACAGCAAGGCAGAATCAACATGTCAGGGGTGGGGAAGAGCCAAAACGGGGTAACAAATATCCCCATGCTGGGTCAGAGCTCTGTGGAGCAGGCAGGAGCAGTTAGCATTGAATTAGTTAATTTGGTGGCTGCCCTGCACGTCAAAGTCCTCCCCATCAGTTATCTTTGCAGCAAAGTCTGCTCCCAAGGGTGCTCCGGAGGGTGCGGAGCTGTGCAGGAGGCAGACAAGGAGGCCTTACCATGCACTTCTCAACATGCAGGCTGCCTGCCTTCAGGAGCTCTGTCAGGCGAGGCACCAGGTCCCCTTTCTTTGTGGCACTGAGGTCGCTCAGCGAGTAGAGGTGCAAATCCTCCGTTAAGTGGCCAGGCACCGCATCAAAGGAGTCCAGGAGGCTGCAAGGCCAGAAAAAACAGAGCTCAGAGCAAAGCAGCTCCACTAAGCTCCCTCTCTCCACTGCTTCTGCCTTTTCTGCCCATGCCCTCCCCTCTCCCCAGCTCATTGCACAGGCTGCACAGATGCCCAGTGCAAATTGCCATGGGACAGATCCAGGACAGCAAACCAGCTTCATCTCACAGCCCAGGACTTACTCTTTAGCTAGCCGGCATGTCTTAAACATGTTCTTCATGTGGAAAAGCTGGATTCGCAGCAGCTGGAGAGGAAGCAGACACAAGAATCAGTAAACAGAGCATGGTCCTTGGCCAAGCAGGTCTGCTCCGTTTCCTACACTGGTGAAATGACCGCTGCTCCTCAGCTGCTGCTCCCCTGCTTACCAAAGTGTTTACACCACACAGGGCAAAGTGAGCACAACCACTGTCATATGCTGCAGGAGACAAACTGAAGCCCAGCTGGACACCAGGCAGAAATTTCTTTTGAAATTCTTACATTACTGGATAAACAAGAGGTGAATGGAAACCCACAGTGCTGAGGTTTTAATCCTCAAAAACTGAAATATCTGCTTCTCCCCAGCTTCCCTGGAACATGGTTTACAATTGGCAGCCACTCGCCTCACCCAAACCCCACTCAGGAAGGCGTGGAAAGGGTCTTACCCACACTTGGTTGAGAGACTTTACTTTCCGGTACAGGGCAGGATTGATATCCTGCACATTGAAGAGTGGGTCACTCCAGATCTTGCTCAGCAGGTCTTTGGAGAAGTTGCTCACATAGTACTTGCTGAAGTCCCACTTGCGCAGGATGCGGCTGGGGATGACCATCTGGGCATTCTCGTGGCAGCACTGGCAGAAATACTTCCCCAGGTACTCACAGTACCGCAGCCGCTTGATGTAATCTGGCCAAACCCAGGCAGACAGGGAGGTCAGCCGAGACACGGGCTCTGCCCAACCACATACTAGACTCCCAGCGTTGCTCAGCATTTCCAACAAGCAAGGCACTCTGCCTTGCTGGTACTTCCTCCAGCCCCAGAGCACTCAACACCGGGCTCTGCAAGCACCCCTGCCAACAGCAAAAGCATTTGGGACCACAGTCCAGTCTCATGCAGCCACATCTACCTATACATTCAGGAAAGAGGGCTGGTCAAAGAGCTCTGCAGCTGTACCCACAACAGAACCTGCTGGGAGCTTTAGGACCCCAACAGATGACCTTGCCCTCATGTAGGCAAAGAGCCTACATCTGAAATGCCCTCCAAAGGACAGGCTGGCTGCTCTTTGCCTCCACCAGCCCCGTAACCTTCCGGAGAAAGAGGCTCCCCTGGGGGTGGTGCACACCAATGTGCAGGCAGAGCTGGCAAAGGCAGTGTACCACTTCCCCAGTTGACCTTGTACTGAGCTTTGCCACTGCCCACCCACTCTGCATCTTCCCACTTGTTCACAGGTTCTTCCCCACTCTCTAGCTATGGGTCACGGACCCAGGACTCACCAGGATCGGTCCGGATGCCACAGCCTGCACACCGGTAATTCTGCTTGGCCACAGCCACCTTTCTCCTGCCCAGAGACAGAAGACAACATGCGTGAATCCAGCCCTGATGGCACCTGGCACCCAGAGGACAGGCACTGGCACAGGTCTGGATGGCAGAGAGGGCCACATGCTTTGCCACTCAAGTGCGGACAACAAATCCAAGGGGAAAAGCCCTGTTGTGCCCTGGTGCACACCAAAGGCACTGACTGCAGGCACTGGCTCCATCTCACAGCACCAGCTGCTGGTGGTGACCACCGTGGGATTTACCAGGCTCAGAGCACAGAAGCCCCAGCGGTCAAGCGGGAAGGAGAGGATAATCAACCTTGGTGTTGATGGAAAAGCATTGGAAAGGGCAGGTCCCCAGAGAGCCCTCGGCTGCACGGGTCCTTACGTTGGGGCTGGGTGAACATTGAAGATGATCTGTGGTCGCGGTGGGGCCCACTCCAGGTTTCCACGCACTCGAATCCTCAGCTTGTAGATGTCGGCATGTTCTCCATCGTCGGGAGAGATGGGCAGAGAGTCAGGGATGGGCAGGAGCTGGGAGAGGCAGGCAAGAGGGTCAGATCCCTGTCTGGTACTATAAAGGCAATGCACCTGGCTGGCTTGCCAGAAACCTGCAGCTGCAGCCCTCTGGAAAACTGTCAGGCACCGAGCTGCTGCTCCAGCTGAATGGGGGCTGGAGAAGGGATGTCCCCAGGGATTCGGGCACTCTGCTGTAGGAGGCTGCAGTGGCAGAGCCCTACTCGGCTGCACCCATCTCCAGAGCCCGGACAAAACCCCTCCTCCAGCTCCACAGAGGGATTACTGGGTCTAGCAAAGGCCCTCGGCAGTGGGCTGAAGCCAGGGGTTCAGGGAAGATCAAATGCAATCGGTGACCAGGGACTCACACCCCTACCTTCTGTGGGGCGTCGTGCTCAGGGACCAGCCACTCCAATTCAGAGGCGGCCGGGAGCTGCATGCCCTCAAACTGCTTCAGCAAGCCCATGGCCACGGCCTCTGCTGAGTTGGAATTGAGGAAGGAGTGGGATCTAGACAGTGAACGGAATCGTTAGTACCAGGTCTCACAGCTGTGCCCTCCACACAACCCCCGATGCCGGTCCCAGCTCAAACCAAAGATGTTCCCTTCAACACTGGTACCTTATTTCTGCACTGCTACACAGGCTTAAAATCCATACATGTGATTGATTTCTGTCTTTGCAGCTTCCCCCAAGCAAAGCTAGCTAATGGCACAACAACAACTGTTTACAAAGGCAAGCAAAACATATCTTACTTAACAAAGCCTGTGCCTGTTTGCAGGGGAAGCTGCAAAGTAAGAGCCAGTGTCTGTACGAGCCAGAAGAAACTGCTCTCCCAGTATGAACCTACCCAAGAAGCTGCCAAGCATGGACACAGCTTTGTACCTCACCCAATGAGCAGAGGTGACCCTGCATCCCAAAGGGATTTTGCTTTCAGAGCATTAACACAGCAGCTGTGCTTAAAACAGGTTGTGATTCACCTCCCCACAGCCCCCACCTCTCCACCCCAGGGCAGTACTGGGAAAGGACTGAGCACTTCATGTTTAAGCTGCTGCTGCACTGCGCAGAGAGTTTGTGAGCGTCACTGTGTGCCAGCAGTTCCACCTCTGGGTCACAGCACAGGTGGCAGCACCATGTAGCCTAACAGGCCGTCCCAGCTGAGAGGGGGGAGGCAGGGGAGGCTCAGACCCAGCAGTGAGTCCAGATGCTCCAGGTTGTGCCAAGGTCCTCTCTCCCCAGCATCTTAGCTACTAAGAGGTACGGGCATCTCTCCAGACGCCAGTCCATATCATATCTACCTCACATGAATATCCTGATCATCCCAGGTGCTGCTTAGCAAATTTAAGACTAGGACCCAGTGCCCCATTGCTAAGTAAAGGGATGGAGGGAGGGATGTCCACTCCAGTGCAAAATAGCATCTGATGCACGTGGAAGAGCACAGTAGGACAGGAAGGGGAACCTGGTACCAAGATGGCTCGCCACGAGTTGAAGACGTACATGGACTCCGAGGACAGAAAGGACTTCCTGCTGGAGTCTGGGTTCCTCTTGATGTCTGCATCTGAATCACAAACAGACAAGGTGAAATAGATGGGGCAAGGCAGGGGGATACACTCATTTCAAACCACAGCTTCACTGTAAAACTCATCAAACTGTTCAAAAGCATGTGAACTACAGCACCAACTTCTACCAGTGGCACTGAGCAGCTAGAAGTGCAGTGTAATCAGTCGCCTGTCAGAGTTACAAGGGAAGGAGATGGTGGGATGCTGTGAAAACAGTGAGCCTGGGGTTTGGGGGAGACAATTGGCTGCTGGTACAGGCTACACACCAAGTCCTAGCAGTGACATGACCTGAACAGTACGCACACAGGAGCTAGGAGGGCAGGACAGCAAGGTTAGCAAGAAGGTTTAGTAGCTCTCTACACGCAGTACAGATGCTGCAGGGGATTAGCAATATGATGCAGAGCCCTTCTCTCTACTTGACCGCAACTGTAAGATCAGATGGTGGCCATGCCACAGCTTGTCAGTGACTGCACAGCCGGGGCTGGCAGCCTAAGCCCAGCACTCCAGAGACACATCAGCATTCATGCAGAGAGCGGGCCAGCAGTCACATTCCAGCCCTCTGCAGAGGCCACAGACCCATCTCCTGAGGAGGGAGAGGGCCAAGATAAGGTGCAGGACACTGGGGTCCTGCTCCCTGCATCCCTCCTCCGTGCCAGCCTTGGGTACCAGGCAGTACCCAGCAGTTCCTTCATCACTCATCTTTCACTCCAGCAGGTTAAACCCTGACAGGGAATTCATCTCAACAGTGGAAGGACCCTGCGACAGGAGACTTCCAGCAGTAAAAGGCAGGCAGAAGCAGGCAGAAACCCTGCTTCATTGCAGACAGACTCCCAAAAAAGGGAAGGAGGGCATGCAAGGGAGAAGTACTACAGGTCAGGACAGAAGAAGCCAATGCCACAACCTTCAGCCCAACAGGTCTCCTGTTTTGTACCTCTGGGGAGCTCTAGGAACAGGGTCTGCAGTGACCACACCACCCCCAAACACAGGCTTGCAGCTCGCCCCCGATCCAGTGGCCCAGTGCCGCAGCTAGAGGGACAGCTCAGAGTGCCTGCTCCTCCACCCCAAGCAGGTCGGCTATAGCAGACCCACATAGAGCCCATCCGATCCCAGCCAGGCACCAGCCGCACACTGAGGCCAAGGGAATCACAGCCCGACTGAGCAAAGAGTGCTACCCCCAAGCCATCAGCTCCCCTAGGAAGAGCGGGGCTGCCCTGGCAGCAAGGGGAGCAAGTCCTAGTCTGGCCCCTAAATTTACAGACTGACACTAGCGGAGTTCAGCATGGATGCTTGACCCTCCTTGTTTGACATCCATTGCTAGAAACAGGCACAGGAAAGCATCCTAATGCTAAGGAATCTGCACACCTACATCACGTGAATGGACTTCTAGCTGCAGAAACAGGGAATTCAGGCAAATGTAGCCTCCTGACCATGTAGGGCACCGGCCAGAAATACCTGCCATGCTCTGGTGCCTTCAGCTCTGCACAGCAAGGTGCCGCATGGTCCTAGACTACAATGAACATGAGCAAAAAGCAGGGCACACGCTGCACAGTGTGGGCCAAGTGTTATGGGGTGGCAGAGCCAGCATGCTCAGGCACTGGCATTATCTCAGGGATGGCAGAGGGAGCCAAATCTGACCCTAGGCTCCCACGGAGGCTAGCACTGGAATCCTGCTGCTGGTCACTTCCCAACCTTAACTGCAGACACTCCCCAAAAGCCTCCAGTTAGCTGCCCAAAACGCCTCTCCTGCCAATGCTATCACCAGGTAGGATAGTCCCCAGGAGGCTTGTGAACAGTCCCCAAACCCAGGGATGTCACCCCAGCCCCCGTATGCCAGCTTCAGGCCAGGATGAGCCCCCCTGGATTAAACCCCTGGGCTGTAAACACAGGACACAGCAGTGCAGATGGGGAAGCTCTGAGCACCAGCATCTCCAGCAGGAGCAACACGCTGGTGCTGAACACTTGACAGGAGAGATCAGCAGCAGCCCACGTAGGCTGTTCCCTTGCTAAAGCAAACAGGGAGCACATGAAGGTTATTTAAATGAGGCCAGCAGACCAGAAGGATTATCTAGTAGTACCGTAAACAATAAAAACACTAAGCAAGACATGGCTGCATGTGATCCTGGTGACCAGGGCCTCCAGTGTGAACAAACTGCCTGTGCCTCGTCTGCTTTCACTACTTCTCCCTCCAGGACTTTTTTCTGGAAGGATTCTTCTCCAAGTCAAGTCTGAGCAGGACGGGAGGGGTTGGCCGTGGTTCGGATCAGAGCTATGGCATGCCAGCTCTGCCAAATGAAGCAGGATAATGCTCCCCAAGGCACCTGGGATGGAGACCTAGTCCCACACTGTAGAGGACTCTGCTCTCATCCAGCCCAGGCTCAGCCTTCAGCAGCTACAGAGCCACAAAGCTGTGCCATCGCCCTGCCAAGTCCTACCCCAGGCAAGGCACATCTACACCACAGCAGGCATGTTTCGTATATCCAAAATAGCGCATGGCAAAACACCCTGGGGGATTGAGCCCATGGCAGAGCTCCTCTGCCTCCTCTCTGCTCCATCCTGCCATATCATCCTGCCACAGCTTTTCTTGTTGACACCTGGATGATACTGTTCACAGTTCCTAAATCAGGCAGATTTCTGAGAAGTGTGCACGTGCACACACACACACCTTGCACACACACACACGCGTGCCACAGGGGAACACTGCGGGGTACTACCTGAGAACAAGGAAGCCATTGACACTGAGAGGCCGTTCTTGGACATTTGAATCAGGTTAGATCCATCGTTACCATCTGTATAACACGGTGATGACAAAACAGTTGACTTCAGTGCTCCGGCCAGGCCGAAGAGAAAGGGCATAATACAAGATCAGCACTCACACGAGAGAAGCCCAGAACCAAATTCACACACCCCTCTGTGGGCTTCAAAACTGAGCCCAAAATCTAGCCCTCAGGGACTGAAAGGAGGGCTTTGCTATCAACAGTCAAGAGACAAGAAGTTTATAGCTGGAGACGGGACTGTTCCATCTTCTTTTAAAAGTCAGTGAGATGGAGGTACTGCTGAGAAGTAAGTCATCCACCTGGGAGGATGATCAAGGCTCTGAAGGAAAGGGACACCCAGGGACCCAGACAGGTCTCCTGTGGATGATAAGCTCAGCCACCCAAGCTGCCAGGAATGGAGACTACAGGTATTACAGGTCAGGATGTGACCAGCGCCCACCACTGCCACCCAAGAGAAAAGTGATCAGAGCTATGGCTCCTTCTGCCTGGGGAGGAGGAGAGCAGGATGGCAGCTCTCCCCTCTCTCTAGCTGTGACAGCCACCATGTGGACCAGGCAATGAAATGGAAACCAGCCAGAGGCACTGAATGCTAGAGGGTTACAGAGGATTTCAAAGGAAAGTCATGCACTACATGAGGGAAACTGGTCACTCTGCTCATGCTCAGAATTCAGCCATTTGTTTGGGAAAAGCCATCCTGAAGGCCAGAGGGACATGCTCTTCTTCAGCAGGACTGACCTCAACACAACTACACCAAGGAGAAGTCTGTCTCTATGCAAGGAGCCAACACATCCATTCCCTCCTACCTCGGATCTCATACTCTTCCACATCCTCTGCAGAGCCGGAGTCAGAGAGCCGCATGGAGCCATGGGAGCTGAACTGGGACCCACTGTCTGTTGCCACAAGACCTGGGAGAAATGCAACACAGCCAGGCTATCAGTGGAAGTGGTCCGAAGGGTCACTGTCAGCTAAGGGAGAAGTTGATAGCCAGGTGTGGCCAGGGCAGGGAGGGATGGAGGTCAAGGATGGAAAACACTATGGGTTCAAAATGAAATTACATTCCGTAACACAGCGCCAGCAGCACGCAAGCATTATCAGTGTACAGTATCAGTCCCATTATGGTCTTCAATAGCAGCAGAGTTTCAGAGATCTCTGCAGCACCTTGGTAGCAATATGACTGTTTCCCACGAATGGGCAGGAAGGCAGGATGCTATAAGGACAGGCAACAGACAGAAAACCCATGTCCCACTAGCTGATGAGCCCAAAACACATCACCCACTGTCTGAGCCCAACTCCTGGCAGGTAGGGAACAGGTGCCTAGTGCGGATCTGCTGGCGCCGAATGCGAATCTTTTGTTTAAGCTCCTGGATCTCCTTGTCACTGTCTTCCTCCTCCTCCTCTAGCTGCCGGCTCATCATGTTGCATTTCATCAGCTCAATGGCAGCGATCAGGGATTCTGAGATGCTGAAGTGGGCATTCTCCTGCAAGGCAAGAGCAAAAGCACTCAGGGCTGTACCATGGAGAAACTAGGAAGACTTGATAAAATCTTGTTCCCCACCTGTGACAGGAAAGAGCTTACTACTCACAGAGGGTGGTAGAAAGACCTTAATCCCTGTTGACCACACGAAACCTGACTCTTCTATGAGGACCTAGAAACTAAAGCCTTCTTGTGCACCAGAATACTCACAAAACACAAGGGGCATCCTACAAAGAGGGTGTACAACACATCCACTCTGGGGAGTCAGCATATGTCCCTGAGGAGCCCTAACATGTTGCAAAGCTTCTGTGTATATGCTGGATGGGCAGATCCTGGCTGCCAGGCACCATTGAGGAATTCAACCTTGATGTTCTGTGTGCAGCTCTATAGTAGGAGATACTACAGGGTTATCTTCCCCACTGAGGGAAGTATCACTGAACCTGCAGTAAGATACACTCTCCAACACACACAGGCTGCTGCTGCCTCCCTCACCTTCTCCAAGTCGGCACAGCTGCCAAAGTCCTGCTCAGAGAGGTAGCTGATGAGGGACTGCCCTTCTGAGGGTCTCCTGAACATCCCTTCCCCCGAGCTCAGGTACTGTCCAGAGTCTAGAAAAGCAAGAGACAAACATATGAGGGAGGGACCTGCTGCTACCCCCATGCTAACGAGCCCTGTCAGTGCCCACCCAGCATCCCACAGGGAGGTGCCAGAAGCTGAGGCCACTGCAGCTGATGGAGAAGCCTGACCAGGAGTAAGCGTCCCCGCAGAGGCTGGCTGTACTCACCGTACTCCATGTAGAGGGAGCTGGGTGTGCTCAGTTCACTGCTCTGGGTGGAAGCAGAGACTGGCTCTCTCCCTCCACCTGGATCACCGTGGGACTCTGGAAGGGAAGATAACACCAGACACAAGTCAGTATCCCAGAGGTGCCCAGCTGTTCCACAGGGTGAAATGAAAGGGGCTCAGCATCACACAGGCAGGCACAAATGGATGGGAAGCAAGGAGGGACATCTTCCTGCTCTGTGCCATGGCTGAGGGCAAGCCCAGCAGGGGACAAAACTAGAAGGGCATTGCAGACAGGAGAGAAGAAAGGGAAAGAAAGAGAGAAGCTCATGAGAGCCATGGAGCAGTCCAGTCCTGAGCCTTCCTCTCTTTACCCCCTAGCAGAGCTGGGGGACACAACAGGCTCCAGCAAGCACCTCTGCCAGCCCCTTCTTCCTGCTGGAGCATCCCCAAGGGAAGTGTTATCCCCCAGGGCAGAGTCAGGAGACAAGGGGAAACTTGAGCAGCCAAGGGATCTGTGGGGCTCCCAGCCCTGCAAAGCAGCCTGGACAACAGTGGACGGAGGCATCTGAAGGACATGCTCTTGCTCAACTAGAAGCCAGGGCTCCTCGCACACAACCCAGGAGCCTGGGCTGCAGAGCTCAAGGTGACCCACACAGGCTGTGGGCAGCGCTGTGCCCAATCCACACACTGTGGTGCAACTCTCTGCCAGGCTGAGCCAGCGGGGACTGCCAGGAGCTGGCCTGAGCACAACAGCTGGTGCTTACAGAGAGCCACGGCCCGGGGAGCGCCCGGATGGAGCGGCTGGGTGATGGAGGACTGCCGAAGGAGACTGAAAACACCCCGACTGGAGCGGGGCAGGAGCATACGGGTGCGGACACGGGGCAAGCGCCGGCTGACATCCCGAGCACAACAGAAGGGCAATCCCATCCTCTCAACCTCCTACTCCTCTTTGCTCCCAGCTTCGGGTTCATAACCCTGAGGTGGCTGGAGGCTCCTGAGGCCACCGACACCAGCATCTCCCTGCCAAGACTATGAAGCAGCAGCCACCAGAATGAGGCTTGGGAGCCATCAGGGTGGGATGCTCTCACAGCTAACTGCTGCAGCCTGGCAGGGCATCCTGCAGCCACCTCAACCCTGCTGATCACCAGCACAGAAACCACCTTGTGATCATCAGCCTGGGGGATGCCATGCACAACAGAGCCTGCTGCTGAAGGGTAAAGCAAGGCAGTGCAAGGCAGGGATTGACATCTGCTGGAGCAAGACAGAGGGCTGGACACGTCTGTCTGAATGCCCACCACCTCCAGGAAGGAGCCTTCCCAGCCACAGAGCCCTCAGCACCCAGATGTGAGCTCGACAAACCCAGTGCCACTGTTCAACAGATGCAAAAGAAAACAACCCATTTTTTAGAGCTGCTGACTCTTTCTGCATGTGGGGCAAAGGGATGGCAGCACCCCAGCACCTCTGCCTGGGGAGAAACCTGGCCTGAGCCCAGAACAGCACCCAGGAGTCCTGGCTGTGGACGCAAGCACAGCTGGCTGGTACACTGCTGAACTCAGCCAACATCAAACCTCCCTATGCCACAGATCCACTAAATCAAAGGAAAAATAAGATGTTCAAGCCCATGACTGCTTAGCTCCCAGCCCTTATTCGCTAGGTGAGAGACAAAACCTCTCCTGGCTCCTGAGGCAGTGGGGTGGAGGGAAGGGCAGGGGATGCAGCTCAGGGATTCAGTGGCCAGTGCTCCCTAACACCATGCAGGGGAGCTGGGCGCCCTTCTGGGTCTGGTCCACTGCCCCCAAAACCCAAGCTGGGATCTTCAGTCAGGTTGCATGCATAAACCTGACCACGCTTCAAAGCACCAGCTGGGACACAGGGAAGAAAGAATTTTTTTGGTTTTCTAAATGGACACTAATGGGTTGATGGAAATCCTGAACTTGATGCAATGATCACTAATGAAGGGCTGTTATACTGGCTCCCAAACCTGCCACTGGGTCTTCTATTATAATGGTGATATCCCTGAGGCCTCCTGGGCAGACAGAGGAGAAGGAGGGCAGCGTTAAGGGAGAGAAAACAGAGACAGACTGGTTACTACTCAGCAAGGACCTCCATTTCTCCCATGACGGCAGCACCGGTGAGGCAGACTCCCACAAACTGGTTGTCCCCTCACATCCCACTCCCCCCCCGCCATGCATTCACCCACTCAAGAGCACAGAGGGACCCAGCAGGTTACCAGCAGGATGACATCCTACCAGTAGGACGAGCCCAAGCCCCAACCCAGTCCCCTGCCATGGCCCCATGCCCCAGCCGGGCAAGGCCAGTGGGGGAGCAGGACAGCTAATGCCACAGCATCACTGCCATTTTCTAAGTTTTTGGTAAAAGCTGCCAATACTAATAACAGACCGGCCCAGGGCATTCTGAGAAGCAAGATGTCAGCCCATCACTCCAGTGCAGAGCAGGAAAGCTAAGGGCAAAGACTAAATTTCCTAACCGCTCGTCTACTGTTCCCCTCGCCAACCTGATCCATGGAGACAATAGGGTGGCCAGCATCAGCCTCCCAGTACCAGGGACTCCCACACCCCAAAGCCATCCCAGAAAAGCTGCCCCATTACCGTGCAATTTCCCTGAAGCCACGTTGGTGTCAGAGTGCGAGCGCACGTGGCTCTTCTTGAGGATGCCCTGCGGAGCTAATGACTGTCCTTCTGAGAAGCTGGACCGGCGCAACAGGCTCAGGCCCCTGCTTCCACCTCCGCTTGCCCCCTGCTCCCCCAGGGATGACACTGAGTCCAGCTTCTGGGAACTGCTGGAGGAGAAGAGTTTGGAGCTACTGCTTTTGGTGCTGTTGGTGCTGGCACTGCTGCATGCCCGGCCCCGGCGCCCCGAGTTTCCAATGGCCAGGTACTCCGGCCCATCGTTAACATCGCTCTGTGGATCATCCTGACTCCCTGTCCAAGTGTCCTCGCTCTGGCTGGTGGTGCTGGAGCTCATCTCGCTGGCCGGAGAGAAGGGGTCTTTGGGTGAGGGGACGTGGAAGTGGGTGACAGAGCCAGGCTGTTCCAGAGGGGACCTGCCCTCACTGAAGGAGGAGGACCGGGTAGACGGGCAGCGCTCCTGGAGCTGGCTGGTGCTGGAGCTGACGGAGGAGCTCGCTGGTCTCCTGTCTGGGCAGAGGCAGGAGCAGGATGTCAAACACCCTGGCACAAGCATACCACCCTACAGCAATAAGCTAGTGGCTTCACACCAGCATGCCCACGCACCATGGGCAAAGGCCAGGGATCTCCCTCCCATCATGGGCAGAGATCTTCTCACGCCCATCCACCACAACGAATCAAAGAGCAGAAAAAATGGCAAAGTCTTTTCTGGGTCTATCCTGAGCTTCCCAGCCCACCCTCGTTACCTGAGAGGCCAGAGGTGGCTGGATGGTGCAGGCTAGAGAAGGACCCAAAGCAGCGCTGCTGCGTGCAGCCTGCAGCAGGGACATATGGGGATGCGGGAAGGGCAGTCAGGCTCTGACTCTTCGTCACCGGAGGTGGACCGTCGCCCTTCCTGGTAAGCTGAAGAGATGTGGCATCATTAATAAATCAGCATTTACAGGGCACCATGTCAAAGGAGCAGCCACAGAAAGGAATCAACCTGAGAGTGCCTGGTCACCAGTCAGCAAAGGATGAGGCAGCCCTGGGGGCAGGAGAATGGGAAGGGACAAACACCCGCAGAAGGGAAGCAGCTCTTTGTTAGCAGCTATGCAGCAGGATCCCATCAGGAAATTACCAGGCTCTCAGTGAAATGATCCAGGCAGCCCAGCTCCCTAGGCAGATGGCCCTCCTGTCCTTCAGCGTCGTGGTCACACATCTCTCTTGTCCCAGCAGAAGGACCTGACGCACACAGGGATGGCAGTGACGTGCCGGCCAGCTGAAAGAACACAGTCCCCATTTAACGAAGCCTCATTAATTGCCTTCCTCTGGGGAGCTCTGTGCAAAGAAAGCAGCTGCTGTTCCCTCCTCTGGGGAGGGGGCAGCTGGCACGGGGCTGCACGGGGAGTCACTGGCGTCACCAGCAGGAGTGGGCACCCAGGTGTCCTGGGGTGCTGCTTGTCCCCTCAGAGGGTGGCTGTCCCTCATGACCAGGCAGCTCTGCTTGCTGGCCCTGAAGCCTGCAACTGTTGTAGAGGGATTGAGAGGTGCCTCTTACAAGGAAGCGGTCCTCAGGTCCTCATTCTCAAATCCTCAATGCCAGCCAGAACCAAGGTGCCCCACTACAGGCTCCACACAGCCACCTTCCCTACCCTGACCCCTGCCAGGCTCGTGCAGGCAGCACAGGGACCAGTTCACCCATCTCCTCCCCTCTTGAAGCAACTTTTGCGACTTCCAAGTCCAGCCCCTTGTCCAAGGGCTCCGTGTGCCTTGAATGAGACCTCGCGCGAGCAGCCACAGCCAGCTGGCGTCTGGGGAGAGCCAGATGTAAATGCCGGGATCTCAACTCACCATGGAGGTATCGATCTGAGCCAGAAGCCTGGGGTTGTTCTGCTCAACAGCCTCCAGGCACTGCAGCATGGCCGTGACGTGGGCGTCACTGAGCAGGAAGGCAGTGTCTGGGGAGAGAAAACTGCTGCTTGGGGGTGTCCCTCTCACCCACACAGTTTCACAGCGCTGGTTGCTCACAGGCAAACCACCTTTTCTGCTGTCCCCCCTCACTCCCACATGGCTTGGAAATGCCACCAGCTAGATATTTTCCTAATAAGAAGGAAAAGGCCCTTTACTTCTCTTTACCTGCATAGAATTTCCTGATGTACTGCCGGTTCCCCAGGAGCGGTCTCAGCTGCGCCGACAGGCAGTGGCACTGCAGGCTGTGCTGCAGCCACAGCTGCGCGATGGCCTGGTCCCCCGGGCCCTGCAGGTCAGGCTGGCTGCTCTCCTGCAGGCTGATGAACTGGAAGGGATGGCAGGCACAGGTTAAGGCACGCAGAGGCAAGCAGGGGTTGTTCCATCGCACGGCTTTGGTCCCCCTGATAACGGCAGCTTTCCAGAGCTAGTCACCACCAGCAGGAAGGAGGACGCGTCCCAGCAGCTCCCCAGCCACCAGGCAGGCAAAAGCACCAGGCAGGAACAACGCTTCAAAGGTCAGCCAGCAACCGAAGTCCTCCAACAACCACCAGCACTATGAATTTCTCTTGCACGCTCTCCCACCCGTGTGCCTCGCCCCTGACCTGGAGGGACCCCACGCTCCCAAATCCAACCCAATCCCAGTGGTGACGGTCATGTTCTTGCTGACACATTAACTGGGGAAGGTTACAGCAATGCCTGAGCTGCTGCAGCTTGAAGAGCTGGACTGGATTCACACCCCACATCCCCCCAGCAGCAGGCGAGACATAGGGGCCACCAGTGGTCAACCCCTTGCGTCCATCCATGGCAGGGACCATGGATGTCAGCGTGGGGCAGCCGAGGACCAGGAGCATCCCCGTGTGCCAGTGGTCAGCACAAGCCTGGAACGGGAGAACCAAATGCATGGTGAAGCCACAACCCCGCAATGGGACAACCCAGACCTTTAGAGATTTGCACAGACGCATGAATCACCCCTGCACACACACAAGCACCACTTGTGCCGGTTCCCTTGGTGATGCCCGCTGCACCCGGCTGAGCCGAGCTGGAGGCTGGCCTGGGAGAAATAAGCAGCCGATTGTCTCAGCCCAAGCCACGCCGAGTTCCCAGGACATGGCTTATACACAAACACAGGGCTGCTTCAGCCTCCACAAGCTGTGGAGCTGCTTTACCCACAGCAGGCCAACATCAAGGCGCTGCTATCCCACTGGTGAGGCTTGCAGCCCAGCTGCCCCCTTCCCTCCCCGCTGGGCACACAAGGCCACCCCACCAGAACCCACCTTCTCCAGGTGATGAGCAGAGCCAGGACTCAGCCAACGAATGTCCTTCACAAACTGCCAGTAATCCTTCTGTCTGCAGCACACCTGCCCAAGACAGGCGCAGTTAGATACCACCACCCAAGGTGCAGTTAAATGACAACATCCCCCATTAGCCCCTTGCTACCATGAGAGGACAGCCCCTAAACCTGGCAAGATGGGCCAGAAAACAGGCAGAGGAAGTGCAGCACTGCTTTACAGAGGAGAAACAAAGCAGTTTTGTAGATCAAGGGACCAAGTCAAAAAACATTGGTGTGATGTAGACAAGCTGTATCCTGCCCCTCCCACAGTGACCTCTCAGTTGTGGTCAGCCCACAAGTGAGCAGCCAACAGATCCCCCAAGCTTGTCTTCTTCCATCAGGTAAGACCCCAGTCCCTCATACCACGGAGAAAGGAGAGGTCTCGGGACAGGGACGGGACGTGGCACCGAAGGGCTCACACCCCTGCTGCAGTGCAATAAGGATCCCAAAGGCCAACTGCAGCTCATCAGTGGATGACGGAGCAAAGCCTGCACCTCTCCTGCCAGGCAGGCAAGGGCACACAGACAGGAGATGGGAACAGACCTCTGGTACCAGCTGCGCCCACGGCAAAGAGCGTTTGGGGGCTCAGCTCTGCCCAAGTCCTCCCACTCACTCCATGCATGGCAGTGTCACGTATGCATCCTTGGTCCTTTGAAGGTCTGCCAAGTTCAAGGTTGACCGAGTTCCCACATCACTGTTCCCCTTCCTGCCAGAGCGGGACCTGGTGGGGAGCCCTGATGCCTCAGCACCGCAGAGTCAGACCTTAGCGAGGGGACACGAAGGGCAACATGGAAACGCATCCCAGCAAAACCAGCGACCATTCCTGTCTTCTGATGCAAGTCACCACTGAGGACACCAGTACGGCTGAGCACCCCAGGTAAGAAATTTGGCATTGCATTTCCATCAGCTCTTTGCTGCTGTTTGCCTCAGCTTTATTCAGACAATAAGTTAGTTTGTTCTTAGTTATTCTACACATTAAAGAGGAACTGCAGCAGAGTTGCTGTTTTCCTCACCACCATACTGGGTGTAAACACAGCCCTAAAATGTCTTTCTTCACCAAAAGGCTGATTTTTTTTTTTTTTTCCACCATCTCTATTTCCTCTTTCACAAGCATCAGAGGAATGGGTTCTGTTTTGTGGTTTATTTGTTTGTGAGGGTTGGATTGGTTTTTTAAGACTAGAGAACTAACATGGCAATTTTAGTCCTCTAGACTTAATTGGGGTTTTATGGACAAATAAATAAAGTTCACTCAAAAGTTTAAAACCTCTTACCCTAGTTCTCTTAACATGTACATCTGGATTTTTTCACCTTTTTTTATTTATCCCCAGTTGTAGGAAATGAGTTGATAAGAAAATAATAAGTAAAAGGAAGTGTTTCACTGGAGCAACTATGAGAAAACTGCTGCTAGGAAGCTGTATTTTTACAGGCCTCCCTTTGCAGCTGTTACAGCCTGACTGGTATCACATGTGCCCAGGCAAGGGAGACATTTCTAAGTAAAAGAGCTGCCTTTGCCTATAGTAAAAGCATCGAGGAAGGCAACACACCATCCTGCTTTGCAGGTCTGGCATGAACTGTTACCGATAGACAGACAAGTATAAATCATTTAAATCTCACTTCCTGAAGCCTATCAATAGCACGTCTATCAGAAGGGCGCACTGCACTCCTCACATGTAAAAGGTAGCTTCTCTCTCTGCTGATCTTCCAAAGAAGGTCCCTGGTCCTCGGGACTAACGGGAACAGAGCAGTACTGTAATGAGTGCTGACTGCAAACTTAAGAAATCCAGGGAGCAAAGCACCCTGCTGGGACAACCTGCCAGCCTGGCTCTTTCTGGAGTCTCATTAGCTCAGGGGCAGCATTGCACAGATGCGGTTTTTCTGCTCCTGGACCCAGCTGGCCCATGCAAGCTGCCTGGGGCTCCTCTGCATCGCTCTCTGGGTGGCAGAGCTGCCGATGGGAAGGAAGCCTGCCCTCAGGCACACCCTGCAGACTTGCTTCAACTTTCCATTGTAAATTAATTGTGCTGGTAATTGCAAGCTGAAGGGGACATCTTCAGGCCTCTGCACACAAATGGGAAAGAGAAATTCTTCCAGGCAGCCATGGAAGGGGGAACGGCTGGGTGAGCAACTGCAAGGCAGACGAGGGCCTGGAAAGAGAGATCCCATTCATGCAGAGCGTGGATTTGGCTGCCAGCTCCTGTTATTAACACAGCTAACCAGAAACAGTAAAAGATGCGAGGTTTCTCTTGCCAGACCTCGTTGGGGAGCTGTCCAAGCGCAGACGATATGGGGCTGACTCATTGCAAATGCGACTTTATCGCTTGGCTGCAGCAGGAAGAAAGGAGACAGGAGCTGGCCTCAGCAGAGGGGCCACAGATACTTAGAAAAACCACGTCGAAGGTGGATGAGACAGAAAGAACACACACCCAGGTCCCTCTGACAATCACAGCACTTGCCAGGCAAGGTCAGTCCCTGCTTCGGTCATTTCCCACGCTGCTACAAGCGTTGTACCCGCTCTGTGCTACGAGCACTGAAGCGAGCTGCGGCAGACCCGACTACCCCACCTGCTCATGACAGGCACTGAAGCTGGAACAGACAGACAGCAGTGCTGGCAGGACAGAACCCTACCTTGTCACGGATGAGCCCATGGTAGAGGATGCTGTGCATGTCTCTGCAGAGTCGTTCCAAGCCGCCATACTTGGACCAGACATTCGGGTTGCTGGTGGACACCAAACCTTCCACTGTGGTCTTCAGGTTGCCTAGCAGCTTCCAATGCTCCTTTCTGCAGAGGAACACAACAAGTTGCATCAGATAGACAGCAAGAGGAGCTTCACAACAGGACCACAGTATTGCACTCTCTCCAAGGAGATTCTGGTCAGGCTGAAACTTTTGGTGGTCCAGAAGCTAGCAAAGGTGAGCTAAAGGACTTTACACTTCCCTGTGGTCTCCCATGCATGGTTTGTGGACAAGAGGCCATATTGTAATGATTCTTGTGATGACTGGTAGCCATTACCAATGTGGTCTCAGGAGACAGCCAGAACAAAGACTGATGGCTCCTGCAATATACCACTTGCTTAGTACAGGCCAGCAAAGCTGGAGGACATGTTTCCAGCCAGCCCCTTGCTCGCTTCATTCACATGCTCTATCAGAGACTATTCAGAGCAGCAGCCTGCCAGGAGTACAGCAGCTGTAAGGCAACGCATGATGTCCAGAACATCTAGCAGACACTGGCCGCACTGCACCTGCATTTACAGAGAGTGGCACTCCCCAAGCAATGCGCGCTGCATCGAGCACTCCAGCACCGTCAGGATGCAGAGATGCTCCACTCAAGGTTGGTAACTCTTCATCTCCATAGCTGCTCTCTGGCTCCTGAGCTGCTGTAGGTGCAAGTTGACTTTCTTGCAAAAGCATTCATCATATTCTGGACAGAGATTAGCAAAGTGCAAACTGCAGGTGTTCTCTAGAGCTTGCACAGCTCTTCTCATTGATATCATGCCCCTCGGCTACCCTGCATACAGCAAGAAATCACCATTATCCACCATAAAGCAGGAGCGACGGTGCAGAAAGCTAACGCCATTTGCCTATGCAAAAGCAACTTTGGGGAAGGAAGCTTTGGATGACTTGAGGTCCCCGCTCAAGCTGCTTGACAGTGTTGCCAGAGGAACAGCAGCTGTCAGAAACATGTATTCAGAGAGAAGCTAATCTCTCAGAAGCAACAGGAATGTTGCAAGGTATATTTGGGGGTGTAAATGCCAAAAAAATATGCCTCTGCAGGGTTTTTAACAAAAGCACCCGAGGTGACAGCTTAGAATGAAGGTCCAACCTTTCAGCTGGCGAGAAACAAGCCACAGTGTTTCAGTTGTTAATCCCTCCCACAGCCAAAACCAAACTGGATTTCCAAAGCAAAAGGAAAAAAAAAAAGGAAAATAAATTTAAAATAAATAACATTATTTAAAACTGCTCTCATTTTCATCCTTTGTGGATGAAAGTGTGGGCTGCACACTTCTGCAGCACAGAGAAGGATACTAAAAAGTAACATAATCCTGGTATTTAAAACTAAGCTTTTCTTGCCAATACTCTCTTTCTGAGACTTGTTTGCTATTGCCAAACCAATTAAGTGAACAAGCAGATCATCAAATATTGGCTCTACTTCAAGCTCCCCATCCACTCCCTTTGTGAGGTCTCCTCAGGGAAGCCAACCCATCCCACCAGCAAAGCTTGTCACCCTGACAGCACAGGAGCTCTAAACCAGAGCTGCAATGCATATGGAAGTATGTATATGTTTATGATGTACTTAGACTAACAAGCACAGTCAGGGCTTTATCTCAGTACAGACTGAAGAAGAAAGCATGGATATAAATCAAAGGCAGCTTTCTGAAGGAGATCTGACTTGAGGAAGGCACAGAAAACTGATCCAGCTCTTCTGAATTTATGGGCTTTTCCCATCCCTGCCCTGAGGGATGCAGATGCTCTTTGACCGGGGAACAGCAGCCAGAGCTTAGAGTGGCATTGCCGTTCTCCGGTCAAAGACCATCTGCAGCCACTGAACTCAAAACTTCACCAGCTCCTCCCCAAGATATTTCTAACGCTCAGAGTTAGGAAATGCAAGTGAAAGCTCAGCCACGCCATTGATCTTCCAAGTCAGTGAGTCAGGGGAACTCCCTCCCATGTTATTTCATGCTATAAAAAGCAGGCGATGAACACAAGGATGTGGGGGCAGGACATGGAGAGCTGTGCCTTTCCAAATGAACTGTCTCATTAAAGGAGTTGTGCATCTCCCCAAAGGTAGGCAACCAAGATCCAACAGACTAGAGTCACAGCTCCCTCCTAGCACAGAGAAACTAAGGTTAAGCAATCCTAGAACAAAATAACCTCAAAATGTTAAATCACTGAACTCGGAAACACATAGGGAATGAGCAGCACAATGAAAGCACCTTTGCAGAGGTGATGCAGAAGCTACCAAAAGTGAATTAAAACCCTGTAAGACAGTAAGAATCCCATGGGACTTGTTGGCTCAAAGCAGTTCACAGGTTGGATGCACAAGACCCTACTGATACCCAAAACCCAGCTGTTTCTGGGCTGGAATACGGTAGATACTGAAAAGCATACAGTGACACAAAATTGAAGAAATGAAGACCCATACAGCTGGCTGCAGGTGGCAGGGAAATCGAGAGGGCACAGCTAACCACATTTTGGCTTTGACCAGACTTGTTGGTTAACCCTGAATTAGCTGCAGAGTTTGCTCCCCTCCCATGGACAGAGCCTGAGCTTGGGCTGCTCAGGGATGGAGAAAGCCTGAGTCCCAGCTGCCCTCAAGTTCCCTGTTTCAGCAGGTGTTCAGAGCAATATTAAGAAAGCTGCTTGGTTTTTTCCAAATAAAGAGAATTCTCCTTTGCTAGTGCTGAAGAAAGCCTGACATGGGGTAAGGCCAATTCATATCACATCATGAAAACACCCTGACTTACAGGATGGGTAAGGTGAGCAACAGGGCCCAGAGAGATCACAGTACACGAGCAGAGCTTCCCCTGCAAGAACCACACATGCTTCTGCTCTCCTGTGCTAGCAGAGCCTCGTTCCCCCAGCCAAAAGGGCTGAGGGTGTTTGCAGGGGTCATCGCTAGTGGAGCACTGGTGAGATCTCAGCCACATCCCTCTCCTTCCTTAAAGATGACCTCTGATCCAGCCTCCAATTTTAACCACCAGCTCCACAAAATTGGCGCTGGGTCTCCTTGTTTTACCACCACAAACTCCATCTTCAGGTACAGCAACATTAACCCACTGTCAGGAACTGTCCCAGAACCTTTTGCACTGGAGTGATAAGACAGAATCCGGCCTTGAAGCAAGAAATGGCTTAATGCTGCTGCTGCTGACAATGACAGGGAAACACTGCTTGCTCTCCCAAGCTTTCTCAGTCCCTCCAGGCCAGCAAGGGTAGGAACTTCTCTTGGTCCAAGTCAGCAAAGGTGGCTCACAGCAGAGGCAGGAAGCCATGCTGCTGACTCAGGTGAACTTCTTCATTTAAAATAAAACCAAACCCTAGTTACTTTCCAAAACAGAATCACACGGGTAGCTAGTATTTAAAAAAAAAAAAAAAAGCTCATCTTTCTTGCAAACAACTGCTGAGTGTCTCCCGGTGCTCTGCAGGAGACATCTAGCAATGGCTGTTGGAACCCTGTCCTCTACCTGGAGGAGTCTCTCGATCCTTCTTAGCACACTAAAGAGGTCGGGCTGAGGATGCCGAGGTCGTGGAGGAACTTCTGCCAGATCTCCAAGGACATTCCCACGCTGGCTGTCGGTTCCTCCTGCAGATCCCGAAGGCGCCGTGTAAACCACTGCTGTGCACAGCCTGCTCCCGCCTCGCCATCCCTGGGTCTCCCAGACAACCAGCAGCCCCTTCCCTGGGCTCCCCCGCCTGCTCCTCCAGCAGGCTCGGTACTGCTGGGAAAAGGGATTAAAAGAAAGGCAGGCTTCGTGTAATTCATCCACAGCGGTGGGGAGTGGCTGACGAGGCAGAGGAAGCCAGAAGAGCTCTGCTAGCCGGGCAGGTCAGCCCTGCAGCACCCAGGCAGGGAGAGCCAAGCAGCCTGGCTGGGAAACTGAAACGCAGGGTGGCTTGCACCAGTAGTAAAAGCTTGCACTGGTATAAAATGGGGGGCACAACCACAAAAAGCTCCCCCAGCAAACACAGCCCAGAGCTGCTGCTTGTTGGAGCACTCTTGCTCTGCACTGGCAAAGGATGAGGGAAGAAAATAGGGATTAAAGGTGTTTTTCAGCCTTCTCCCAGCACGGCAGATAGTTTTACCTGCTCATCCTGGCGAAGCATCCCACCAGCAGATGACCACAACCTGTTGACCCAGGATACTGTCCATGGGGCTTCAATCTGCACAGGACCTGCCTGTGACAAGCATGCAAGCAGCCAGAGGCAGCGACAGGCAGAGCAGACGCCCATGGCAGCCCACCTCCCTGGGACCAGCCGCTCACCTTCCTCCATTGCTCCCAGCACAGGGACCCTCTCCTCTGGCCCTGCCGTCCCTGGGGCCCTTGCCGGTGCCGGAGCCGAAGGCGGCAGCTCTTTGCTAACCCGCGTGGCTGACCAACGGCCCCTCCGCTCCCCCCGGGACTGCTGTGTCCTCCACACCACCCGCCCGCCGCTCCGAGGCACCGAGAGCCCCGCTCTCTGCCCGGCAGAAGGAGAGCGCTAACCTTCCTGCCGTGCCTCGATGGACATTGGCGTTACAGCCCCTGCTCTCTGATGCATTTCAGACCTGCTGCTTAGGAGGAGAGACAGCAAAACCCAGCACGAGATCCTCATGCTCCTCTCCTGCACCGGTAGAAGGATGGACTTCAGCAAAATAATTTTTGCTTCTGCGTTTCCCGTGATCCATGGGAAGACGGATCTGGCCACCTCTATCCTATCGCTATCAGTCACAACCACAACCTATAGCGAAGTGGCACCTCACTGGGAATTAAAACGCTAAACCATTTGCACAAAGGACAACGAAGCTGCGCAAGGCCCATGCCAGGATCCTCCCCAGTGCATCAGTGACAGCCAGGAGAACAAGCAGGCCCTCTCGTGTGCCAGCACCAGAGGGGATGATGCCCTCCTCATCCCCGGGGGAGTGCTGGGGTGGCACCACGTCAGCTCTATTAGTCACACAATGGTAGAGTCTGGTAGTGCAGGACTTGCACTTGCAAAGGCAAGAAAAAGCACAAAGATGATTCTGGAAAGAAAAAGAAGTGAATGCAGTCAATTCCTTTTGCCTTTCTGAACCTGCTGGTCTGAAGCATTTGCTAAAGAGGGAGAATAGCTTGAACCATGCAAACCAAAAGACACCCCACACCTGCACTATAGCTTTAAAAGCACCGGCAGCATTTTCCCGGCTGATATTGCCAGCAGGAACAGAGCTGCGAGCTAGCTGAGCCCCTCAGATATGGAATGCTTCTCTCCCATATCAAGTTTCAGCTGCTCCCTCCTCCCCAGCCAACACTCTCGTTTCCATCCAACACCCACCCTGCACTTCAGCACCAGGGCAAAAATGAAACACAAAGCAAAGGCTAAAGACATGCAAAAAACTGAATCGGACTCATCACCAAAACACCTCCAGGGAACAACTGCTGCTGCTTTTATAAATGCTAACAAGAGAAAACATGCCTAAAGCACAAACGAAGACCACGCAGGCGAAGCCACCACAGCACGGCCATTCTCACCGCCAGCCACGTGCAGGCGCAGGGCCTCGCCTTCAGAAATAAAGAGAAGCTGACGATTTCTTTTCAGCACCTAGAAGGGGCGATGCAGCCGACTGCCAGGAGGGTAAGGAGACATGATCCAAAAGCAGCAAGCTGCAGAGCCACCAGAACGGCAGCGCGGCGTCGGGGCGGGATGGTTTTGCCCTTAAGCGCAAGGCGTGCGAAGCAGAGGCTTGGCAGCTGCTGTCTTGGCCAAGGCTGATGGAGAGTTGCTGTCTCCACCATGGCGGGGACAGAGCATCAGGGACTGAGGGCACACGCGTCTGTGGCCGTCACTGTCCCTCCAGTGGCCAGGACGCTTGCCCAGGGCAGGGAGCAGAGCGATGCGCTGGTCCCCGGGTGGGTGACGGCGGTGACACGCTGCTCTAACAGCCCAGCTCACAGCGTGCTTCCACCCCACGAGGGACCGAAGCGGGGGCAGCCGGCACGTTCTGCAAGCGCCGATCCCCACCCGGCACCGGGGGGTTTGTTTCCTCCCAGACCGCCCCCAGGTACCCCCCTCATCTGTACCTGGGTGTGCGCACACCCACTCCCACACACACCCACGCAGCACACGAGCCCCCCAGGGGCACCCCGGGCACCCCCGCGCATCCCCAGCGCTCCCCAGGCACCAAGCGCACACTAGCAACTGCTGCCACCCGTGTTTCTCGCACGCACATCCCGTGCTCCCCGCCGTGTCCTCGATAACTTGCACGCGCACCCCGTTACCCCACGCGGACACCCCTTGTGCGCGCACACACACGACCCTACCCCCCACGCGTGTCTTGCCCCTGGTGCCAGCACACCCGGCGTGCCCCTCAGTGCCCACACGCTCCCCCGCGCCCCCGGCACAGGCACACACGCAGAGCAGCGTGCCCTGCCCACCCCCGCCATGTCATGCCTCCCACGCGTGCCCACGCAGGCCCTGTCCCGCCGCACACCCGCACCTCCTCGGCGTGTCCTGCCCCCACACACGCACCCACCGGCGTGTCACACACACGCACACGTGCCGCACACCCACCCCCCCGCCCCGCGATGTGCCAGGCCTCCCGCACACGCGTGCAGCGCTCCCCCCGCGCACCCTGCCGCGTCACGCCTTGCCCCCGCGCGACCCCTACCTGCTCTCCGCGCGCTCCTCGCGGGGCCCGACCTCCATCCCGGGCGCGCGCGGCGCCACCGCCGC